CGACGACTACGAGCAGGTCAAGGCCGTGGCCGACTACTACCCCGTGTACTACTAGTACTACTACTTACTACTACTACTGCTACTACTACTACTACTGTACTACTACTACTACTGCTACTACTACTACTACTGCTACTACTACTACTACTGCTACTATTACTACTACTACTGATACTACTACTACTGCTACTACTACTGCTACTGTTACTACTACTGATACTTCTACTGCTACTACTGTTACTACTACTGCTACTACTACTGCTACTGTTACTACTACTACTGATACTACTGCTGCTACTGTTACTACTACTGATACTTCTACTGCTACTACTGTTACTACTACTGCTACTACTACTGCTACTGATACTACTACTACTGCTGCTACTGTTACTACTACTGTTACTACTACTGTTACTACTACTGATACTACTGCTGATACTACTACTACTACTGCTGCTACTGTTACTACTACTACTGATACTACTACTGATACTACTACTGATACTGTTACTACTACTGATACTACTGATACCATTACTACTACTGATACTACTACTACTGATACTACTACTACTACTATGTACTCTTGTGTATGTTGTGTGTACTTGGAGGTGAGGCAGTACTTTTGTGTTTCAGGAGTACAAGCTTCTGTTCGAGGGTGCGGGCAGTAACCCCGGGGACAAAACTCTGGAGGACCGCTTCTTTGAGCATGAGGTATGTTTACTACTACTACTACTACTACTACTACTACTACTACTACTACTACTACTACTACTACTGCAAATACTGTGTTTTTTGTGAAATTGTACATTTCCGTTCCAGGTGAAGCTGAACAAACTGGCGTTCCTGAACCAGTTTCATTTCTCCGTCTTTTATTCCTACGTCAAACTGAAGGAGCAGGAATGTCGTAACATTGTGTGGATCGCAGAGTGCATTGCCCAACGGCACAGGGCCAAGATCGACAACTACATCCCCATATTCTGAGGGAGTTTACCCTTTGCCCTTCATGTCTGTCCAGTCTGTGCTGTCTTCTAAATAAATGCTGTAAAATTCTGTATTTTCACATTCCGTAAAAATGAGATGCTTTGTTTGAACTCCATTTCCCAGAGTGCTTTGCTCTGATGCTGTGGTCCCCCTGCAGGCCGCCACAGACATCACACTGTCATTAAAAACCCGATAAAAGCCTGAGATAGTATTTATTGTATTTAAAAGTGTTTTTGTGTCGTGGAAATTTATTCTGAAATGATAAAATGTCAAATGTGTGAAATTATTGTAAATGTGAAATAAATCTGTAAATGAAAATTAGTTTTATTTTTTTAACAACCAAAACGAGAACACGTCAGATTTATTACATTTCTAACAAATAGAACTAGAACAGAGGTTTTGTGATGACATCACCCTCCACGGGCCAATCACAGCTCACACTGATGACATCACATCTATGACATCATCACATCCATCCACATCATGACAGTTCAGTCTGAAAACACGTTTAAACATATTGATCATGTTTCAATCAAACACCTGAAAACTCCAAGAAAACAAAACAAAACATGCAGATGATGTTATGTTCATGTGCTCTTCACCTGCCGACGCTGTTTTGAGTTCTCCACAGCAGAGGGTTCTATGGTTCTCCACAGCAGAGGGTTCTAAGGTTCTCCACAGCAGAGGGTTCTAAGGTTCTCCACAGCAGAGGGTTCTAAGGTTCTCCATAACAGAGCACATTGAGGGTCTGGCTGCAGTCGCTGGGTTCTATGAGCGGGTCTGATCCTGGGGTTTCATTGAGGACCAGAGCTCCACAGTGAAGTCCAGACTCAGGACACACAGGAAGAGAAGACAGAGAGACAGCGCCCCCATCTGACCAGAACCAAGAACCACCCAGGAACCGCAGACCCACCCACACCTGAGGACACAGGACATGTGTTAGACCTTCTGTCCCTCACTGAGGACACACAGGTTTAGTGCCCCCTGTACCTTGCTGGTGGTGGAGAAGCGCAGGACGTTCTTGATGTTGTCCATCTCGCTCTGTTGGAGCCTGAGGAGGCTGAAGGAGCCTGTGGAGGGCGTGAGGATCCTGCAGGTCTCCAGAGCCTGCTCCCAGGTCAGAAGCTCCTGCACCAGGACCACATTGTGTCTGTAGCACAGAGAAGGGAAGGCCTCGGAGCAGCTGTGCACTGACATGGACTTAGACTGAGACGACACAGACACACAATCTGACCCCACACCTGGGCCCTGGACAGAGCTCGCAGCCACGCCAAGATCTGGAACAGAACACACACTGGATTCAACTGACTCCTCCCCCTCTCCCCCGACTCCTCCCTCTCACCTGGAGCCCAGTTCCTGAAGTCAGACGGGTTTTGGTCGCTCCACTCCCATGATCCTCCTGAAACACACAGAGGAACCTGATTTTATCTGAGGTCAGTGCGTCGCTGCTTCTGCTCCACAGACTCTGTCCTTTGGAGAACATCCATCTATGAGCTTCCCAAATCCACACTGAGATGTTCCTCTGAAACCATCATCATCATCATTATCATCACACTGACCTATTTTTAATGTTTTTGATTTTTTTGTCCTTTAGGCTCTGATCTGTTTTTATGTTTTGAACCTTCATGTCATTCGTTTTTCAAACATCAGTGTTTCTGGCTGTGTTGACGTCAGTGTGTTTGGAACTTTTGAAAGTTTCATCGATTTAGTCAAATTTTAAAATGCCTCCATGATTTTTGACAGAGCAAAAGGGTTTGTCACCTAAAGTCCACATAGATTTTTTACATTATAGGTTTATTTTGCCATAAACATTAACTTTGAGGAAACAATAAAAAGCAGAAAAATTATATAAGTTCAAACTTAAAAGAGTGAAGTGGAAACCTTGAGCTAAATTCTTCTTTCAATAGCTCGGACCACACCCACAATGACATAGTACCAAGAAGTTTATTGATCATGTACGACGCGGGGCAGAGACGGCTGGTTGAGACTCTGGGTGGAGGCTACGTCTCAATCTTCACTTGGCCCAGCCGGAGCGGGACCTCCCCCCAAAGGCGTCTTATGACTGAAAGACAAAATAGGGGACGGGAGGTGGGGTCCAGTTCGCCGAGACAAACTGAGATGATGAGAAAGGCTGTGACATAAAGACTTCTGGGAAATTCGAGGTGTGATTGAGTTGAGTTGTGGTTCACTGGTGAGAGGACGACTGAAGGTCCTGCTCCTGAATCTCACTTCATCATATTAACTACATTTGTCAGTCATTTATGGTGTAAATTTGTGGTTTGAATGGGAGAGAATGTGTAAAATGACATATTCCCTTTGACTTCCATTACAAATATATGTCAGGACTAAAAGATTATAACAAAAAGGAGTCCAACAGAAATCAGGACAAAACTGATCTGTTTGTTTTGATCTGAAGGTCAAGACGGTCTGAGAGTCTGAGAGCGCAGAAAGAAAAGAAAGAGATAGAAAAGACAACAACAAACAGTGAGATTTAGATTCACACGGGACGAGTTTTATCACCGGACGTCTGAAATATAGAAATATAGTCTATATTTGTGGTGGAATTTTGACTTTACAAATGACAGACGTGACGCGTTCACACGGGATTAAGACCTCAGGCATCGTCCGCAAAAATGACAAATCACCAAAGGTCCACAGGTCAAACTAATCCTGTGAACAAGGCAAATGTCAGTAAAATAAAGTCATTTACGGACTTTGTTTATCCCGTGTGAACGCGCTGCGAGTCACACAGAGGTGGGGCGGGAATTTGCAAATGACCAGATGTCCCCAGGTTTAGTGTCGCTGTGAAAAGCGTCGTATAAAACACATGTATTTTTATTATTATTATTAATCAGCCCAAACTCTCGTCCTGTTTGTAGCGCAGCAGCTCACAGGTTCACACTTACAGTCTATGGTCCCTCACAGACCCGCCCAACCCCCCCTTCAGAGCTGAAACAGTCTCTCACCGTTTCTGTGGAGGCCGATCCAAACGGGGAACTCTCGGGCCACGTAGAACGGAGAACCGGGCCAACGCGGGCTGCTGGTCTCCAAGAACGTGCTGAGGGACAAACCCAGGTCCACACAGAAGCTCTGAGCTTCAGGTTTAGACTGAGCCTCAGGAACAAAGACCTCAAATGAGGAACCAGAGAACCCGGAACAGAAGAAGAAATGTTTCTCTGAGCACGAAGCACCGACGGTTCTGACGAGAGAGAAAGAAAAAAGAGAGAGGGATCAGAGGAGGAGACAGGGATCAGAGGAGAGATAAAGAGAGGGGTCGATACTTGTCTGTTCTGTAGGAGGTGAGGACACACTGTCCTCCGTCCTCAGGTTTCCAGCCCCCGGAGCACATGGGGTCGTTCCAGAAGTCGACGGGGTTGGGGCCGCCGTTCCAGTGATAGTGTGTCTGGTGTGGGTACATCCCCACCCAGGCGTGGAAGTGGCTCAGGTCCATCTGGTCCAGCTCGCCCTGGGACACGACGGTCATCAGGTCCCCCCCAAACTCACTGCACACATTTAGAAGTCGCACTGTTCAAGACCGGACTGATCGAGACCAAGACCTGTCCCAGACCACTTCCTGTTTAGAACTCGGCAGGATATGGATCAGACGCACCTTCTGCAATGATCTCGAGCTTCAGTCCAGGTCTTTGGGGTGGAGACTTGCCACATGGGCCTCCTGATCTTCAGAGTGTGACCTGGGAGGAGGACGAGGAAGACGAGGAGGAGCTGCTTCATCACTGCTTCACAGACCCGGATGACACACACCTGAGGAGACACACACCTGAGGAACACACACCTGAGGAGACACACACCTGAGGAGATACACACCTGAGGAACACACACACACGAGGAGACACACACCTGAGGAGACACACACCTGAGGAACACACACCTGAGGAGACACACACCTGAGGACACACACCTGAGGACACACCTGAGGAACACACACACACGAGGAGACACACACCTGAGGAGACACACACCTGAGGAGACACACACCTGAGGAGACACACACCTGAGGAACACACACCTGAGGAGACACACACCTGAGGACACACACCTGAGGAACACACACCTGAGGAGACACACACCTGAGGAACACACACCTGAGGAACACACACACCTGAGGAACACACACCTGAGGAGACACACACACACACACCTGAGGAGACACACACCAGAGGAACACACACCTGAGGAGACACACACCTGAGGAAAAAACACCTGAGGAGACACACACCTGAGGAGACACACACCTGAGGAACACACACCTGAGAAACACACACACACACGAGGAGACACACACCTGAGGAACACACGCCTGAGGAACACACACACACCTGAGGAACACACACCTGAGGAACACACACCTGAGGAGACACACACCTGAGGACCTAGGAGACACACACCTGAGGAAAACACACACCTGAGGAGACACACACACCTGAGGAACACACACCTGAGGAGACACACACCTGAGGAAAAAACACACCTGAGGACAGACACACACCTGAGGAACACACACCTGAGGAGACACACACACTGAGGAGACACACACTGAGGAGACACACACACACACACACACCTGAGGACACACACACCTGAGGACACAAGACACACACCTGAGGAACACACACCTGAGGACACACACACACTGAGGAGAACACACACCTGAGGAACACACACCTGAGGAGACACACACCTGAGGAGACACACACCTGAGGAACACACACCTGAGGACACACACCTGAGGAGACACACACCTGAGGACACACACCTGAGGAGACACACACCTGAGGAAACACACACCTGAGGAACACACACCTGAGGAGACACACACACACACCTGAGGAACACACACACACACACACACACACCTGAGGAACACACACCTGAGGAGACACACACCTGAGGAGACACACACCTGAGGAACACACACCTGAGGAACACACACCTGAGGAACACACACCTGAGGAGACACACACCTGAGGAACACACACCTGAGGAACACACACCTGAGGAGACACACACCTGAGGAACACACACCTGAGAACACACACCTGAGGAACACACACCTGAGGACACACACCTGAGGAACACACACACACGAGGAGACACACACCTGAGGAGGACACACACACCTGAGGAGACACACACCTGAGGACACACACACACACCTGAGGAGACACACACCTGAGGAGACACACACCTGAGACAACACACACCTGAGGACACACACACACACCTGAGGAACACACACCTGAGGAACACACACCTGAGGAACACACACCTGAGGAACACACACACACCTGAGGAACACA